CTAAATGTAACTACCAAGGGCCAGACATGTCCCAGACCCCCTAAATGTAACTACCAAGCCCCACTAAATGTAACTACCAAGAGCCAGACGTGTCCCAGACAGATGTCCCAGACGTGCTAAATGTAACTACCAAGGGCCACATGACTATATATACCCCTAGACAAAGAGAGAGAGAGCACTTTTCTCTCCTGACTGGAGTTTTCCCTCTGCCAGGAGCTTTGGCACTTCTGTATTCTTTTTGTTTGTTTTTTAGAGACAGAGTCTCAGTTTATCATCGCCCTCAGTAGAGTGCCGAGGTGTCACACAGCTCACAGCAACCTCCAACTCCTGGGCTTAGGCAATTCTCTTGTCTCAGCCTCCCAGTGCCTTGGGACTACAGGCTCCAGCCACAATGCCTGGCTACTTTTTTGTTGCAGTTTGGCCAGGGTTGGGTTCGAATCCACCACCCTCAGTACATGGGGCCAGCACCCTACTCACTAAGCCATAGGTGCCTCCCCGGCTTCTGTATCCTTTTCTGTAAATAAATCCTGTCTTACTATTGATCTGTGGTCCTCGGATTCACTCTTTGAATCACCGAGACCAAGAACCTACTGAAGAGTGAAATTCCCATATCACTGTGACGCCATGGCACTCTACCCAGGGCGATAGCTTGAGGCTCTGTCTCAGAAAAAAAAAATCATCTCAAAAAGAAAAGAAAATATATATATATATATGTGTGTGTATGTGTGTGTGTGTGTGTGTATATATATATATATATATATGGCTGTTCTGAAACCAAGCTTCTCAATAATTAATTTTGTTTCAGACAAAAATTTCATGAAAAGATCATTTTTATTATTTTAAGTGAATTAATAATTTTAAAATGCAATTTTAATTTCTGATACAGTAAATATAGATGTTAAACATACAAACAAGAGCTCTTCATCGATAATTTTTTTTTTGAGACATAAGAGCCTTACTCTTTCCTTCTAAGTAGAGTGCCCTGAATCGTAGCTCACAGAAAAGATCCTCCTGCCTCAGCTTCCCCAGTAGCTGGGACTACAGTTGTCCACCACCACACCCAGCTAGTTTTTCCATTTTAGTAGAGTTAGGGATCTTGCTCTTGCTGGGGCTGGCCTTGAACTCCTGAGCTCAAGGATCCACCAGGCTTGATCTCCCAGAATGCAGAGATTACAGGTGTGAGCCACCTTGGTTGGCCCTTCATCAGTAACTTCAGTGCAAAGGAATCCTGAAATCAAGAAGGTGAAAATCTTGGCCTTAAAGGCATATTCTCTACAATTGCAATTGTAGATAAGTGCATTTGCAGTCTTGGTATGGTATACAGGTTTCTCATCCACAAGAGCTGAACAGTTTTGTCCCCCCAGGCAACACAGGAGAAAGGCATTAAACTTTTGGATTATTACCTGTCAACTGGGTGTGAAATAGTAACTTGATATATTTTCAACTTCTGCTTATTTTACTCAGTGTAAAGATTTTATTTTCATTCATTTAAGAACCATTTTCATTTCTTTTGCTGTGACTCCTACATTCAAGCCTCTTATTTTCTTCTATTAGTGATAACGGGAATTTCGTTTTCAGTAGGTTCTTGGTCTCAGTGAATCAACTGAATGAATCCGCGGACAGTACGTCAGTGGTAAGACAGGATTTATTTACAGAAAAGAATACAAAAACACCAAAGCTCCGGGAACAGAGAGAAAACCCAGTCCGGAGAGAAAAGCTCTGTCTGTCTGTCTCTGTGCTCTCTTTGTCTATGGGTATATATAGTCACATGGGGCCTCCATTTAGCAGGGCTAGGTAGTTATAGTTAGCATGTCTGGGACATGTCTGGGTCGGCAATGAATGGCTACAACCCGAGCCAGAAAACTTACATGAAATTGACCAGGCCTAGGAAACTGGAGTGGGGGGTGGGGTTCCCTGTTTAGCCTCAAGTGCAAGGGGCAGGAAACCTAAGGCGCTGGTATCTCCCCAGCAGTTGTCCGGCTCCTCTGGTTACTGGAGCCTGGAGCCTCCTGTGGGGCGCCCCTGCCTACCCTCCAGCCCGCTGGTTCCTCTACGCACTACCACTGCACCAACACCTCCGAGGCCGAGGCCGAGGCCGAGGCGGCCAGTCTGCGGTCCCCTCCTCACCCCCAGCTCTACCCAGCTGGCTGGGGCACCACCTGTCCTGTATCATTAGGGTTTTGGATTTTGTTTTCTGGTCAATTTTAAGAGATAGTTATAGATCTCAAAGAGTAGCCACATAAATTCTTGATTCTTTGCTAAAAGAGAAAAAAAAGGGGTAGCTTGTTGTATATTATATGAAATGTAAATATTTTCCATTTATTTAGTTTTAAATATTTTCTTTTCCTTTTTTTTATTTTT